AATTTCACTCAGAAGAAGCAAAAAGCAGCATGTTGTGGTTTATGTGCACGCTCATTGCCGTGGTATGACTTGACATTTTTTTGAGAACATGCAGTTTTGACACAGATTTGTTTTGGGCAGAACGCTATCCAGTTCTCTGGAGACTCGTTCTTTCTGTGTCCCCATCACTAATTAATTATTGGTTTCTGTTCTTCCCGTGTGTGTGTTTCTTCACTTTTTAATTTTGTTTTCTTGAGTGGGAAAAGAACTCAAAAACCTAAGCAGAGTGGCTGGACTCCTGAATACATAGATAGGAGTTCTGGAAAGGAAAATCAGGTTTTTTTCAGTGGTGTAATCGAAGGGGAAAAAAACTGCAAAAGCAGCTTCAGGCAAAAGTGGCAGAGCACAAAAAGCATGAAAGGCGTTTTTGCTGTTACTGTTTGTGATTTCATGTGAAGGTTGGTTCGAGTCATACCTAGATGCAATTGAAGCACAGTCCAGGGAAGGAGATGTTTAATTAAAAAAAAAAGGCCTCTGGCAAGTTAACTGACACACAGGTCTGCTTTCTAAGACCTGCAGAGATCCTCTCATTCTCAGGACAGCTATCAGACAGAGCCTGCCCTGCTCAGATTGCAATAGGTTAATAATGATATTGGGAAAATGATATTTGCTGGATATTTGCTGGAGATAATGGCACATTAGCTAGAAGAGGGCATTGTTCCATCGATTGAAATCATCTCTGTGGCAGAGCAGTATCGCTCCGCTCTGCTGCGACTGAATGTCACAGCATCCACAATGTTTGCTGCCAGCTGCAGGAAGTGGGGAGAGTGGAAAAAAGCCATAGGCCACCATCAGCTCTGGATGGAGTATGTTGCAGCTCTTTATTGCAGAGATGAGTGAAGATACTGGTTTTCTTCTACTGTACTGGATGATCCAGACCTCAGATGCAGCCAAGCCTTTCGTGCTCCACTGGTGAAGCTTGCCAGGCTGCTCCTGTGCTTGTGTCTGTGATGTGACTACAGGAGGATAACGAAGTTGTAGTTTGTGACCAGGATAAACGTGTCACAACGTAGGAGGGCAGATAGAGTCTTATGTAAGATGTCTCCACTGTTATTCCATTAATGAGGAACAGTTTTCACTCCTGTTTGCTCCCCCACCAAAACTCATACAGAAGGACTCTGGAGGGTTGCCTTTCTTTCTGCACAAAGTGGAGACTGTGGGGGCCAGTTAGATGCTGAAATAACCATCAAACATCTTTGCATCTTTGTAGGTCTATTCCATGCCTAAATTATACATAGGCTTCTCTGACCTTAATTGTTGAATGTCAAGAAAACTGTAGGCTGCACACGTCAGAATCAAGAGCACCAGTTAGATCTCTTAAAGCAAGCTACGTTTTGGCCTCTGTACCTGGTGGTGCAGGTAGTGATGTATCCTTCAGAGAAAGTAGATGTGCATTTCGGATTTTCCTTCTTGCCACTTCTGCTGCTTTGCTCTAGCCATATTATTCTGTGGGTTTTCTTCAGAAAGTCTAAGCTTGATCCTTTTCTGCAAGTGCAAGGATGGTATCAGGAGCTGTGATTCAGCTGCAAACATTGCCCTCAGGTGTGAGATCAAGCATATTCTGATAAGGGATCCCCAGGCAGCAGGGCTCCGAGACAGCAGTGTCTGGTTTCCTGATAATGTGTTACCACAGAACAGGTGAAGCCCTTCCACTGACATTGCAAGCTTTAGCTCTGGCCCACAGAGCCAGATTTGTGCAGTAGTATGAAAGCATCTGAGTTCCTTATCTAATGAGAAAGAATTACCACAGAATCACAGAATTGTAGGGGTTGGAAGGGGCCTCCAGAGATCATTGAGTCCAACCCCTCTGCCAAAGCATAGTTATGACTTGCAGCATAGTTACGATTGATGACAGAGAAGTCTCTAAGAGCAGTATTTGTCCCATATGTTAGATTTGTAAAAAAAAAGTACTTAGGATCAACTAATTCTATGATTCTTGATTTTTTCAGTGAGGCAGATACAAATTCTAGTCATTGCATCCATCAAAATTGGAGAGGAACTTCAAAACTCTGAGCTACTACTTGAGTACAACAAGATTCTCTCTCCTGCCTGCAATATGCTTAAGATCTTGGCAGCAGTTTTTTCAATGGGACAAATAATTTTTCTTTCCATAACAGCATGACCCCTGGGAAACAATGGAATGTGTATCATGCTAATAGAAAGTGGAATTAAAAAAGCCCTACAGTCATGGAATCATAGAGAGGTTTGGGTTGGAAGGGAGCTTTAAGCTCACCTAATTCCAACCCCCTGCTACAGGCAGGGACACCTCCTCTAGACCAGGTTGCTCAGAGCTCCATCCAGCCTGGCCTTGAGTGCCTCCAGGGAGGGAGGATCCACAACCTGTCTGTGCAGCCCATCCCAGTGTCTCGCCACCTTCACAGTAAAGAGTTTCTTCCTAATTATCTAGTCTAATAAATCCACCCTTTTCCAACTTAAAGCCATTTCCCCTTGTCCTGTCACTACATGCCCTCATAAAAAGTCTCTCCCCAGTTTCCTGTATGCCCCCTTCGGGTACTAGAAGGCTGCTATAAGGTCCTCTGAAGCCTTCTCTTATCCTGAAGAGCCGCAACTCTTTCAGCCTGACCCTGCAGGGGAGGCACTCCAGCCCTCTGATCATCTTAGCGGCCCTTCTCTAGACCTGCTCCAACAACTCGACATCCTTCTTGTGTTGGGAGCCCTAGAAGTGGACACAGTTCTCCAGGTGAGGTCTCACAAGAGCAGAGCAGAGGGGCAGAATCGTCTCCCTCAACCTGCTGGTCACACTTCTCTTGATGCATCCCGGGATACGGTTGGCTTTCTGGACTGTAAGGACACATTGCTGGTGTATGTTGAGATGTCAGCCGACACCCCCACCTCCTCCTCAGAGCTGCTCTCAAGCTGTTCTCCACCCAACTTGTGTCTGTGTTCGCTGGATTGCCGCAATCCAGGTGCAGGACCTTGTGCTTGTCCTTGTTGAACTGCATGAGGTTGGCATGGGTCCATCTCATAAGCCTGTCCAGGTCCCTTTGGATGGCATCCCTTTCCTCTAGCTTGTAAATCTTTATAGTGTTTACTACAAAGACCGTACATGCAGGCTCTGAAGATTCCTTTTCACATTGACATCTCTCTATTCATTGTCTCGGAGAAGAGAGCCTCAACATTTTGGGATATGTCTTGGGGTAACAAGTCTGTTATGCCTTTGTGATGGCACTATTTCTGCTGACAGTCCTGGAAGCAGGCATCCAGTCACACCCCCACAGTGGGAGAAATGCTGTATCTCGTGAAGAAAGTCCCACCTCTCCTTTGCTGTTTCACAACAAGGATAAAACAGTGTATGAACACTTAAGAGGCACTGAAATTAGGATGTGTTGCTGTGCAGTAAAAATTTCCTCAGCTCTGTGTAGCAAGAAAGAAGACACCTGTGGTCAGTGTGCAGGCAGAACTGTTTGTAGTTCTGCTAGATTCGTGGATTGTCTGGTGGAGAACTGGAGAACAGCTTGACGCAGCCTAACTGCTCTTTAATAAGATTTCATTGCTGCAATTTAGCATAGCGGGCAGAATGAGGTTTTATGTTTGCATCTAATCCCCACTGCCTTCACTGGGAGTTACATACCCACTCCTGTGCATGAACTCCTGCAGGGTCACAAGAGTGTTCATCAACTGTTCCAAGTCAGATTAGTTCACCAAATAAATACACACATCCCTTAGATAAATACACACTTCCCTTCCTCTCAAAGCCACCAGCACATTAACACTTTCATGTGAGCGTTTACAGAGAAAATGGTACTGGCCCTATAATTGTCCACATAAAAATATATTTAGAGAAGCTGATTATTATTCGGTGGGAGTTACTAGCAGCAAAGTAGCAGAGAATTACCACAGTATTTCCGTTGCTGAATTAACAATCAAAGAACAGCCATCATCACCATCATCACTGTTCAAATGCTCCAAAGCTAACTTGCTTTCAGGCTTTGTAACAAAAGAACTGGGGCTGTGTTTATTTTCCACTAACGGAGCTTGTGGCACTTTATTCCAACACTTTTCTACCTCAGAAAGCTTGAAGAGGTCATCTTGGTCCAAAGAAGACTGTAGAGAGCAGGTCTTAATGAGGAGCAGCTGTGGGATTTGGGGTTATTTGCTCTAGAGAAAAGAAGGCTCAGGAGAGCCTTAAAGGACATCATACCAAGTCAGAGGTTGGTCTTTTCTCACAAGCAGCGACAGCAACACAAGAGGGAATGACCTGAAGTTGCACCAGAGGATATTAGGAAAAAACTTCTTCACCGAAAGAGGTGTGAAGCTTTGGAACAGGTTGTCCAGGGAAGCAGCTGAGTCACCATCTCTGGAAGTATTGCAAAGATGTGTAGAGGTGGTGCTGAGGATGTGGTGTAGTGGTAGGTTAATGGTTGGACTGGATGAGCTGAGAAGTCTTTTCCAACTTAAATGCTTCTATGATTCTGTTATTATTTGTTACAGGTTTCATAATCAAAAATGGTCTGTCAAGTTCTTTTTCTTCGAGAAACACCTGCATTTGTCAGTATAAGCTGTTTACTTTAGGGCTAGTGGGCTAAGAACTGCTCACCATCGTTTCAGAAACATTCTATATTCTATGAGCACCACAACAGAAATGCTGTAGGTGTTTATGAGCCATTTGCATGCAATTTATTGATTGATAGATTATTAAAAAATTTGGAAATGAAGTGTGAGCCACCAGCTTTTCAGCAGGAGGCTGTCTGGCTGACAGCTGAACCATCACACCAAATTCATGGCAGCCTCCATTAACCTGTCCTGCAGCCAAAGTCATGGCTGGTTGCTGTTTTTTCAGTTATCAATTCCAACTGCTCTTAGTAGAGATGATTATAGCTTACTAGCTAGCAATTTGTATCCTGGTATTGGTACTTTTAAGAACTTCATTTCTGTTTCTTTGGTTTGTTCTCTAACTAATTTTTTTCCTATTTTGTTTCTCGTGCTCCTTTTCCCCCCAGGGTGAATGTTCACAGAAGTGCTATGACATCTTTGTGCTGGAGACAGTGTGCGTGGCTTGGTTTTCATTTGAGTTTCTCCTGCGGTCCATCCAGGCAGAGGACAAGTGTGCTTTCCTGAAAACCCCGCTCAACATCATCGACATCCTGGCCATCTTGCCTTTCTACATCTCTCTCATTGTGGATGTGGCTTCCACAAAAAACAGCAGCAAACCCGGCGGGGGAGCAGGGAACAAGTACCTGGAACGAGTGGGCCTGGTGCTGCGCTTCCTGCGGGCGCTGCGCATCTTGTACGTGATGAGACTGGCCAGGCACTCGCTGGGGCTGCAGACTCTGGGGCTCACTGTGCGCCGCTGCACCAGGGAGTTCGGGCTCCTCCTGCTCTTCCTTTGCGTTGCCATGGCCCTCTTCTCACCGCTGGTGTATTTGGCTGAGAGCGAACTGGGAGCCAAGCAAGAGTTCACAAGCATCCCTACCAGCTACTGGTGGGCTGTGATCTCCATGACCACCGTTGGCTATGGGGACATGGTGCCTCGTAGCATCCCCGGACAGGTGGTAGCCCTGAGCAGTATCTTGAGCGGTATTTTATTGATGGCCTTCCCGGTCACTTCCATCTTCCACACCTTTTCCCGTTCCTACAGTGAGCTGAAAGAGCAGCAGCAGCGAGCAGCAAGCAGGCAAATGCACCAGCTGGAGGAAAGCATGAAACTCACAGGTGGCGGCAGTTCCCAGTGGCTCACTGCTGCGTCCCCTCCAGATGCTGCCAGGGAGGGTGGCCGGCCAGTGCTGGACCGGGAAGCCAAGAGAAGTTGACTCTCCACAGCTAAAGAAGTGAGTTGGCAGCACAAGAAGCAGTGAACGTGAGGGGAAGGATCAATCTGCAAACAGAACCCCCCAGACTGCATATATTAGGGACAGACAGACACGAGATTGTCCCTTAACAGCAACTTTCAATCTTAGGGGCTTACTGAAAAGTGTCCCTAGAAACTCTATCAAGTACAGCTTTGCTCCATCGCTAACTGTAGGGAAGCTCTTTTCTCCTGAGCACCTGTTTTTGTGAGTCCCTGGGAGCAGCCAGCCGGGAGGCCATAAGGAAGTGGCACAGTGTGGCCGGGTGCTGCTGCTGGGCAGTGAGCGTGCCACCACCCCGTGCCCTGAAAGTCTGTTCCAGCAGCCCTGCCACGGAACCGGAGGAACGCAAAGCTCAGACAACCAGAGGGATGAGGAGATGAGAAGGACAGAAGGATCCCTTCAGCTTTCCAAGGGGCTTGGTTTGCTCTGTCTTAGAAATCAGCACTATGGTCTGGGCTGCCAGCCGCCAGCTCCAACCCGTGCTGCTGCTCAATGTGCATTATTCAGTAAATACGCGTATTTACCACAGTAAGCTTTGTATCTTAGCCCTGTGACAGAATTATACATAGACAATCTTCCTGACTATGGCACTGAATGTGAAATTGTTGGGTTCTTTTTCTTTGCTCACTGTAGAATGTAACAAATAGAAATCACATTTCTCCACCTTCTTCTAATTCTTTCCATCTCAAAAACGTATTTAACAGATGAATAAGCCTCAAATATATGCAGCCCAAGGAGGGGAGGGCAGTATTAAGTCAGCAGTGGCTTCCAGCTCTGCATGATCTTCCCTGGCGGTGCTGTCAGTGATTGCAGCCGTGTACAAACAGGGCTGCTCCAAGCTGCAAGAAGTCAGTGTAACTCCTCCAGTGAGCTCCGGCCCGAGCTGCAGCGCAGCACCTGAGACCTGCAGTAGCTGTTCTTTTCTCCTACTAAGAAAAAGACATTCCTCTCGTCTAAAAATCATAATTATTATTCTGGCTGTTCCTCTCAATTTTCCAAAAAAAATGCAGTCACTTGAAAGGGAAAATGAATCATACGGTAGCACCCCCATGTTTGCTTACTGCTGCCGTTCCCGAGGGTTCTGAGGTACCCTAGTGTGCAGTTTCATGCTCATGGGAGCTGTGCAGCTGAGCTACGCATGTCAGCACACTGTGTGCATTTCAGAGGACTCCTACTTTCAGGGAGTGGGAGGTGGAGCACAGTTGCCTCCTGTGCCTACACCTCTGTTGGTGTTAGCAGAGCTGTAGGAACCAACCATGGTGTCACCTTCCTGTTTGTCTCTTGCTAGGAGGGGAGCAAGAGATGTATTAAAGGTGGGTTTTGTTGGGTTTTATCAGCTTATATTATAACGCCTACCCTACACTAGCAGGCTTCTGTACCGAGCCATTCCTTATAGGAATGGAGCAAGGCAAAATAAACGTTACACTTTATTTTAATAAAAATTGGAACCTTTGTTGTCGAACAAGCGCATCTGGTGGTGCTTACGATTCAGGTGACGTGGGAGGTGGTGTACAGGCGTGCACCCAACATTCAGACCCAGTCCCCTCCAACAAACCAAACACAGCTGCCTGCACAGGGCTGCCATCTGTGACCTGCCCACAGGGATCTCATCTGCTCGTGCCAGCAGAAGGGCCAGGGGATGCAGGATGCTGCTGGGGCTGACTCAGACTCCTGGCAAATCAATATCAGCAATTACGTTGCTGTGACTCACTGCAGATTTTAATTTTTTTAAATCCTGACACAGGAATTTCTTGCATTAAGATTTGGCATCAACACACAGCATTGTGGCTGGCTAAATGCTCAACATCAAAGTGAAGAGTGTGTGTGGTCATTGCATGACATGGTGATGGGGAGGGCATTTGTATGCTCCATCTTCAGGTGAGCCCTGACAGATTCAGCAGGCAAACACACATCTGAAGGCATTTCATGGCGTTTTACATTCCATGCACATCACGTGCTGTTCAAAGCCACACATCTGGCATGAATGCAGTGATCAAGGAGCCTTTTGTAGGGCGCAGAATGCATCTCCTTGGGCTGGTGAGGGCCATGAATCAACAGCAGTATTATCTTACTCTTAAAAGAGCCATCTTAGAGCAGATATCCTTGCAGAATGAAGAGTTTCACGCAGGCAGTGCTAATAGATAACCATTAATTAATGCCTTTTTTGAGCCTACAGCATGAAAAAGCCTGCACTGAGACACTAACTGCATCTCAGCAGCTTTGTGGAAGATGACACATCATATTATTGCTGTGCTCCATGAAGTTGATACAGCCCTACAATAGTGAGTTCTTTGTAATTTTGAAAGGCAGATAATTAATTCCAGCATGCGCAGAGTCTTAATAAAGTGACAGAACCCACGCATTATGTCTGTTAGTCAGGTCTGGCTTTTAATAAAGTATCATTTTATCGATGACAGATGAGGAAACAAATATAAACCAGGAACCGTTTAAACAAGTTATTTTTGGAAGCCATATGAAGTTCTGATGCACGACATTGCTAGGCATAAAAGGTAAGCAGAGGACCGTGAGTTCTTCCAGCATGGCTGCTACCACGAGTGATGCTCACTATTTTGATCAGCAGCTGGAGAACCGTTGGCTTTGTGCATGGCTGTCGGTTTTCCTTTGACACAGCACACAAATGGTTGAAGGCCATTTATCTCTAAGCAAAATAAATGCTGTGCTGTTGTCTGAACGCATGCCAGTGCCACCAGGTAGCTGCATGTTCCTTGTGAAGCACAGTGTGGTGCTTGATGGCGTCGCACATTCTTTTTGCATCAAAGAAAATCAGTGTCCTCTGTCTAGTACAGCACCTGGACTCACTGCACATCGGAGCAAAGCCAGCGCTTGGTGATGGTACTCGTGGGGTGGGACATGGGGAACAGAAAGGATGGTCCTGTAGGATGGAGTGCTGTGACTGAGCTCCCAGATCAGAGGCTGCGATGCTACACGTGTGCTGGCCAATAGGACTGGGTAAAATGCAGTCTGAAGAATGGAAACGCAGAACGCAAAGTCACGACAGATCAAAATTGCAAAGGCATACTTACACAAAGGTGCTTTATTTAGTATCCGAATTCTCCCACAAGATCCTTGTTACGAAACTTCAGAAGTGTAGGATAGATGAGTGGATGGCGAGGTAGATTAAGAACTGGCTGACTGGCAGAGCTCAGAGCTGTCAGCAGCAGTCAGGTTGGAGGCCTGTAACTAGTGATGTTCCACAGGCACTGATGCTGAGTCTGGTCTTGTTCAGCATCTTCATTAACTACCTGAATGAAGGGATGGAGTCCAGCTTCAGCAAGTTTGCTGATGATACAAAGCAGGGAGGATTGGCTGACACACCTGAAGGCTATGCTGCCACTCAGCAAGACCTGGACAGGCTGGAGAGCTGGGCAGCTAGAAACCAGATGATGTTTAACAAAAGCAAGCGTAGGGTCTTGCACTTGGGGAAATAACTGCATGCATCAGCACAGGTTAAGGAGATGACTTCCTAGAGAGGAGCTCTGCAGAGAAGGACCTGGGTGCTCCTGTAGACAACAGGTCGGCCATGAGCCAGCAGTGTGCCCTGGTGGCCAAGAGGGCCAGTAGAATCCTGGAGTGCATTAAAAAGAGTGTGGCCAGCAGGTCGAGGGAGGTGATCCTCCTCCTCTACTCGGCCCTGGTGAGGCCATATTTAGAACACCGTGTCCAGTTCTGGGCTCCTCAGATCAAAAAAGACAGGGATCTTCTAAAATAAGTCCAGCAAAGGGCCACAAGGGTGATGAAGGGCCTGGGAGTATCTCCAGCATGAGGAAAGGCTGAATAAACTGGGTCTGTTCAGCCTGGGGGAAAAACGATTGAGGGGGGATCTGGTTAACATTAATAAATATCTAAAAAGGGAGGTGGGAGCCAAGCTCTTCTCAGTGGTGTGCAGTGACAGGACAAGGAGCAATGGTCTAAAACAGAAACTAAAACACAGAAACTTCTATACAAACATACAGAAAAGCTTCTTTACAGTAAGGGTGACGGAGCATTGGAACGGGTCACCCAGAGAGGCTGCAGAGTCTCCTTCTCTGGAGATAGTCCAGACTCGTCTGGATGCCTTCCTGTGTTTTAGCAGAGGGGTGAACTTGATCTCTAGAAGTTCCTTTCAATCCTTGCAATTCTGTGATTCTGTGAATTCTGGCAGCTGCCAACAATAATCATTTGAAAGACTTAAGATGCAGTTACAGACTTGAAAAGGGACAGTGTTGGAGTGGCACAATTTCTGCTGCTCATATGGCACATCACCGCCAACTCCCACTTCCTAGCAACCTTAACTGAGAAAAATGACTATTTTTCACTGTCATACAGGGCCAGAATAAGCAGAGTTTATGACAGCCTCACAGTAGCCCTACAGAGGCAGAATACCTATTGCTCTCACAGCATCAGGGTCCTCCAAACTACAGCCTTAAGAGTACAAGGCATTGGCACAGAAGAGGGAAGGGGCAGATGAAGAGGCTGGTGGGTAAACAAATTCAGTGTGGTTCTACTGGCCAAAGAAGGGGAAGGACAGAGATGGGGAAATCACAAGCCTGTGCTTCCCATCTGCACGTTTCCAGATGCAGATGCAGCTTGGGCCCTGGCTGCTCTACAAGGCTGTATGTGCTGATACCTGTCCAGATTCTGGGTGTGCTTCACATTTTGTTTTATCAATCTATCTAACAACTGTTGTTACAGGTATTCAGACTGCACAATTATTTACCAATATATTTTGATTCTGTCACTGAAACCACCAACGAAACTAAAGCTGTCAACCCTTGGAACTTAGGCCTAAGCTAAGAGTCACAGAACAGCCTGGGTTGCAAAGGAGCTCCATGCTCACCCAGCTCCAACCCCTGCTGTGTGCAGGTCACCAACCAGCAGCCCAGGCTGCCCAGAGCCACATCCAGCCTGGCCTTCAATGCCTGCAGGGATGGGGCATCCACAGCCTCCTTGGCAACCTGTGCCAGTGCCTCACCACCTCTGGGGGAAAAACTTCCTCCTAATATCCAACCTAAACCTCCCCTGCCTCAGTTTAAAACCATTCCCCTTGTCCTATCACTGTCCACCCTCACAAACAGCCGTTCCCCCTCCTGTTTCTAAGCTCCCTCCAAGCACTGGAAGGCCACCATGAGGTCTCCCACAGCCTTCTCTTCTCCAAGCTCAACAAGCCCAGTTCCCTCAGCCTTTCCTCACACAGAGCTGCTCCAGCCCTCTGCTCATCTCAGTGCCTCCTCTGGACCCGCTCCCAGAGCTCCACGTCCTTCCTGTGCTGGGGCCCCAGGCCTGGACGCAGCGCTGCAGATGGGGCCTCACAAGAGCCGAGCAGAGGGGGACGATCACCTCCCTCCAAATTCACAATACAATTTAAAAAACAGCATGTCCAGGCCAAGTTTTCCTTTACTGTCCAATGTGAATGAAAAGCATCAAATCTGAGCTTTGCCTTTGAAGTGTTTTGACTTGCACCTAGCTCCACACACCCAAATGTACAATGAAATACTGATGCTCCACACTTCAGAGCTGTGGCTCTGAGTGGTGCCCAGGTCTCAGCAAGCCTGGTGCCTGTAGGCAGTGGGACAAGAGCCCTGTGGCTTTCTTCAGCACTGTGCCAGAGGCAGCTGTGAGCACTGGGGCTTCCTACCGTTCCACTAGGGCCAGTGGCTTCCCTTCAGCGAGGGCCAGAGCAGCAGCGAGTCACAGCAGCATCGCCTGGGACAGAGCACACACTGAGAAGTGAGTGCACGCAGCCTCAGCTGTTGATGGAATGGCTTGGGCCAGTCTCTCAATTGCACACAGAACGTAACAGGGCAGGCAGTTTTCACACTTAATTCCCCATCAACTCATTTTCCTCCGTCCTTACTTGCACTTCACAGATTTGCCTACCTTTACTCTCCCTTACAGCAATCTCCTTTCAACCCCTTATTACTGCATACTCAGTCTCTCCCACCTCCCTCCTCTCCACTCTCCAGACTGCCCTGATTTCTACAAAATCAGTCTCCCTCCTCTCCTCTCCTTAGCCCTCCTTCCCTTGCACCAGCCCTCCCTCCTCACTCATTCCCATTCTCCAGCCTCATCATCCACCATAGGTAGCAGCAGCAAACTCCTCTCCTCCTCTGGAGCAGCCAGTGGAGCCCCACAGTACCTGCAGCCACGCACTGCGCGGCCATGAGGTTACACCCATTGTCCTCATCTCCCTTGTAGAGACTGAACAATCACGTACCTCAACTGTGTCCCACAGTCCATCTCCTTGTACAGTTTGCACAGTACTTTTTGAGGCTACACAAAATATACCATCTCTTAGCAATTTGTTTTTACAGGCATAGGAGAAGGTAACATAAAAAGATCATGAGGCTAAATTCACTTCAAAATGTATGAACAGCTTGGGGCAGAAATCCAGAATCCATGTCTTGTACCATGACC